GGACCTCCCGAAATCACTTACTCCCTTCTCTGGCCTGAAGCCCTCCAGTAGGATGAGACTGCCTCCCCTCAAAGGGTTTAGGGAAGTGGCGTCCGCATCTGGCAGTGTTTGTGGTCTCTAGCTCTTGGCTGTGCACGTGTGATTGCTCGTGTAACAGAGCCCGGAACAGTGGTGTCTGTCCACAGAACACATTTCAGTTAAAACTTCTCAGCATGGTAATAGTCTTAAAAAACAAGCACCTGAGAATTTGCAAAAAACTCTCTATAATCAGGAAGGAAACTGACTTTCCTTCATATAAACATGAAGGAAACACGTCTTCTAATACTTCCATGAGAAACTCATTTTGTTCACCCATTTATAGATGACAAAGTTGTGGTAGAAGAGAAGTTCAGAGTCTAATAGAAGTCTTAAGAAGCTTATTTCTGGAAAATCTTGTGAACAGAGTTTCTCTTGATTGGATTTTCTAGGCTCTTCTAGAAATACTAATCTGATATCTGGAAAGATGGGCATTGGCGTCCTATAGATTTAGATTCAGATTCTGACTGCCTATAATTACCTGAATGACTTTGGACATATACCCCTGGAAACCTCAATTTTCTCCTTTGCAAAATAGGAATGAAAGTGAAAGTGAAATTTGCTCAGTCGTGTCTGACTCTTTGCAACCCCATGGACTGTATAGTCCATGGAATTCTCCAGGCCAGAATACTGGAGTGGGTAAGCCGTTCTCTTCTCCAGGGTATCTTCCCAACCCAGGGATCAAACCCAGGTCTCCCATGTTGCAGGTAGGAGATTCAAAATAGGAATAATCTTGTCTCAAAAGTTAGGGGAAAATCCAGGGGAATATATTTATTCACTTATGTGCTTACTGAGCAAATATTATTGGGTATCTGCTCTGTACTCTGAGTGCTGAAGAATTGATGTTTTTGGAGTGTGGTCCTAGAGAAAACTCTCGAGAGTCCTTTGGACAGCAAGGATATCAAACAGTCAGTTCTAAAGGAAATCAACCCTGAATGTTCATTGGAAGGACCAATGATGAAGCTGAAGCTGCAATACCTTGGCCACCTGATGCAAAGAGCTGACTCATTAGAAAAGACCCTGGTGTTGGGAAAGATTGAGGGCAGGAGGAGAAGGGGGTGGCAGAGGATGAGTTGGTTGGATGGCATCACCGACTCAATAGACATGAGTGTGAACGAACTCTGGGAGATAGTAATGGACAGGAAAGCCTGGTGTGCTGTATTCCATGGGTTGCAAGGACTTGGACACCTCTCTCCGACTGATCAACAACTCTGTAGCACTGAGGAGGATGGTCAGTGTTTCTGCTGTCATGGAGCTGACATTTGATTGAAGGGACAATGAAGCACTAAGTAGCGAAACAAATAAATATGTAAGATGCTGTCAGGCATGAAATAACCCTAGAGGGTAAAGAACGATAAAAAACGATAGTGGTGCCACTTTGATAAGGGTGACCAGACAAGAATCCTTTAGTTATGAAGTGTTGGCCAAAGGGCACAGTACGTGCAAAGGTCCTGAGGTGGAAAACAGCTTGCATGTTTGAGGAACAGGAAGACAGACCCGTGTGGCTAAGGACTGGTGAGTGGTCGAGTGAGTGGGAGACGAAAGGCAGGGCCCAGCCTGTCGGGTCTTATGGGCAAGGGGAGAGGGACTTTATCCTGGGTATACTGGGAAACCAACAGAGAGTTTTAAACAGAGGGGTTGCTGAGTATGATTTATTAAAATTTTTTAAAAAAATTATTTGCATTTATTTATTTTTTTGGCCACGCTGTGCGGCATGGATCTTAGTTTCCCCAGCAGGGACCCAACCGATGCCCCTTGCATTGAGAACATAGGGTCTTAACCACCGGACTGCCAGGAAGTCATACTTTGTAAGATTAATTTATCTGTGGCTGCGCTGGGGCCTCGTTGCTTTGCTCGGGCTGTCTCTGGTTGCGGGGAGTAGGCACTGCTCTTCGTTGGGGTCTTGGGCTTCCCCTTGTGGTGGCTTGTCTTGTGGAGCACGGGTTCTAGGTGTGCAGGCTTCAGTAGTTGCAGCCGGTGGTCCCTGGAGCTCCGGCTCCGTAGTTGTGGTGCCCCGTTCCCCACCACGTGTGGAACCTTCCCGGACCAGGGATCGAACCCGTGTCCCCTGCATTGGCAGGCGGATTCTTAATTGTGCCACCAGAGAAGTCCCTAATTTATTTTTGTAGAAGAATATTCTGCCTACCGTGTGGAGGATGGCCGTACAGAGAGGCCACTTCAGAGGTATGACCGTGACTGGGAGAGAAGGGATTTCAGTTACAGTGCTAAATTGGAACAGTGTGAGTGAAGAGATTCAGAGCTCGTGGATTGGAAGCGGGGAGAGGGGAAAAGGAGCAATGGAGGATTAGTTGAGGAGTTTGGAATGCAGTGTCACTTCATGAGATGGGAAGGACCTGGGGTGGGAGTGGAGCTCTGGAATTGACAGCCTAAGTTTGAGATGCCTGCTGGGCATGTCAGGAAAGCACCAGGCATTGACGTCTAGAACTTGGGGGGCAGGGTCATCGGCACGTGGGTGGTGTCCACAGCTACAAGGTTGGGTGAGATTGTCCAGAGAGGGGGTGCAGAGAAAAGGGTCCAGAACAGAGCCTTGAGCGCTAAAATTTAGCCATCCACCCAAGAAAATACGAGCTCGCAGAAGTAACTGAGAACGAGCTTTCACTGAGGTCGGAGAAGAAGTGGGTTGTGGTGTCAGAAACAAGAGAAGAATTGAATGGAGCAGCCAGTGCTGGACACGCTCAGTGAAAGTTAAGTTTCCCCTTAATGGAAATAGTAGCACTCATTTATTTTAGGTCTTTCAAAAGATATAATGTTACCTTTCATCCCAGCATAAATTCAATTTGCAGTGACATTTTTTACCTCTTTCATATGTCTTTCAAGGTTGAAATATGGAGCCCCAAAGAGCTGTGGGTTGGTTACCCCTCTTCGAAAGCGTACATTTACCAGCTTGCAAATCCACCAAGCAAAGATTTCTTTTTCCGCCTTAAGTTCACATGATTTAATTTGCCTGAGTAACCTGCTGTCATAGGTTTTCATAGAGTCCTGACACCTAGCAGAGTAATTAATGCTTTAGGCTTTTAGGAACTGTTTCAGGATTTTATTAATCACCGTTGTGATTGCACATATGAATTATGAAGGAGTTATTTTGGTAGTTGGATTTCCCCCTCAGAAAAATTTCCATATTTGTTCATTATGAACTGATAGCCTGGAGAAGAATAAAAATGGAGAATATTTGCTGGGTCCTGTGCAGACTTTTCAAATTATCCAGAATCAGGATGACTTCACAGTACGCCAATGTGAGTGTGAGTTGTTTGAAGTTGGTAGTCAAATGCTTTCTCTTTGCCTCACTGTAAATTAATTAGCGATTCTCTGTGACTTTCCCAAATATATGGATTTTGTGAACTGTTTAAAGATGCATGAAATCAGAAGGAATTTGTGGGTTATGTTTGATTCTGCCGTGATTCCCATCATTGGAGGAATCACTCTTAGAACTATTATGACTAGTGTATTATTCTTTGGGGGGGTCTTCCAGGAGAAGAAGGGTATCAAGGTAACTGGGAAGAAATAGGAACCTATCCTTCTGATTTCTTTTTCATTTTATGTATGAAACACATTATGGAATTTCACAATTATGGGATGGTGTTTGAGATCAGTGTATGAAAGAGAAGTGTTATGGGCGGTGTTTGTCTAGTCCCTAGGATTCAATCTGAAGTGTGAAAAACAAAATGCAATAACTGTTTTCTTTGAAACTCTTCCCCCTAAGGCATCTGCTCACCCCAGACATTTGCAGGTTCTCTGCATAAATGCTCGTGTGGCCGCCTTTGGGTCCCCAGTGACCATTTCCCTTAGCTTGGGGGTAAATGTGAGTTTCCCTTGTGTTTAGAGGAAATTTTACTCCGTGCATTTTACTCTGACAAGAGAAGGCTTGCTGCTTTACTGGGAACGGGGCTCTTTTCAATGATTAGAGTGATTTTCTGTGATTCTGCCATTCTTGAGGAAGATGGTTGAGATGACAAATAAAAGACAAAGTACTTATATCAGTGTGGGGATGGAGCAGCTGCTCTCAGAATCCAGTGCCTTGACTATTGAGTGAAAATACCTGTTATTGCTCTAACTGCCATTTTTACTCTTCCTAAGTGGCCGGTGGGGATGCGAGGTGGGAGAAGGAGCTGGGTGAGGCAGGAGGAAGTCCATTTGCAAAGTCAACAGCGGAAGCATTCAGGCAGAGCAGCAGACATCTGACCTGAATTCTGTATAGATAAGGCTGGGTATACAGGCAGCTGGGCCACCCTGCTCTTTCTCACAGTAGCTTGCTGTGACAGACTAATCTTAGGGTATTTCCATCTTAATTTACTCGCATCCTGCTTTTTGTAGGTAACAGCATTTCTGCCAAAGGTGATAAATTTGCTAAAGCTTACCATTAAGATTCTTTCCTCGTATGAGTGTTATATAATTATATATACATTCGGGCTCAAAGGTCCCCGTCTAACAAATTCCCTGCACAGAAGTACCATTTGAGGGCCCATTCTCTCATTAATTTTATTTGACATTTATGTCAACATTACATTCCTAGCCTAAAAGGAGCAATGACATGCGTACGCAGGGGTGTGTTAGAAAGTGGAGTATTTAGTTTGGCAGTGCAAAGCAGTCGGCTAAGTCTGCGAAAGCAAAATGTTCTAAATTAGTTAATACAAAGTGGTCTAAATGCACTCAGTTGAAGTCGTTCCACACAGCGCCAAGTGCCCGCTCACGTGGCTGTTCTGACACGTCTAACGTTTTCCCTCTCAGGGTTCCCAGAATTTCCTGACACGGTGTCTCTGGCAGATTACTAAGGGGTCATCAGAGGGGAAAGAAATCGGGGCTCAAGAGCGGTCACTGTGGTATCAGGAATGGAAGTTGCAAACGTCAAAGACCCGATTCTCCTCTCCCCTTCACGGACTTCAGAGTGAGGGGTTTACCGGTGGAACATGGTGCATGGCGCCCGGTTCTGCCGAGTGAAGAGTTTCACAGACACTGCTCTTGAGGCAGGAGGGCTGTGGGGAGCCCCCTGCGGACATCGAGGGTTACCTTACTTCTCGGACCACGTGGCTGCGGCATCGCTTAGCGCCTCCAAAAGTAGACAGAAGCCTGATCTGGGGTTGTTAACCCTCAACACGAAAGGATTGTTAGACAACACGTCTGACTCCTGGTCCGCTGGGTTGAATTTCGAATCCCTGGAGGCCTCGAGAGAGAGAGAGAAGTCAGAGAGAGGGATGGAGCCAGCCGTGAGCAGCATCCAAGGGACTGAGCGTGGCGGTTCCTTTCTGTTCCGGAATGCTGACTCTGACGTGCGCTGTGGTCTGTGTGTTCTCGGGCTGGGTTTCGTGCTTGCCCCTAATGGTCAACTGTAGACTTGGGCTTTTGTCGTGCAGAGAATTCACCAGCAGCGGAGAGGACTGTAAGTGGAGGTGGATTTGAATCTGTAATGTGAATGGGGAGTGGGCAGATGGTCTGACCCCCTCACTCTTTTTCACTCCAACGTTCACCCCTGCCCCCAGTGTTTCCCCCAGCCTTGCCAGCCTGTAACCCCCCCCAAATAAACACTGCGACCCACTACTTCTGTCTTTAGGATGAATCTGGAGGGTCAAGTGGCTGATGACCAGCAGACCTGTGAACCTGTCTGGATGACCGAGTCCCTCAAGGTCATCAACTTGAGTCATTATGACTATGACCGTCTGGAGTCAGTGTCTCCTGGGGTCCCCTTGGTGGTCTGTCCGCTTCATGACTCTGAAAGGTGGGGACTTTATCAAGGACAGAGAGGAGGAGGATGATAGCAGCTTGTGAAGGGGAAACTGACTTTGGGTTGACTTCATCCCTGTCAGCTCAGACAACACTGTTCTCAGCACCTCCTGCTGGCTTTGAGGACTGTGATTTTCTCACCTGATCTTGTCTGCTTAAGCTCTGGCTTGTCTGGCTAGGTTGCTAGGGTATAGGGCACATTTTTGTGGTGGTGCTTGGGGGCAAGGGGGGGTGTTTTGCTTTGGAGTTCTGGTATACCCTGCTGACCCCCTTAAAGGCGCTGTGTACAGAACTAAGAGCTTCATAGTTATCGGGCTGTCAAGGCAGTTCTGGATCTTACAGGGAAGAGACGTTGTGAGCTGGAAGGGCCTGGGGGTCTGGGCCACCTTTGGACATGTAGATAAACCCAGAGAGTTAAGAGCCAGGTCTGGGGACAGTTGCCCACTCTGTCCTCCTTCTTGTCTGTGGGAGGATCAGGGAAACTTCCCACTGCACTGCTGATGTCGTGGGATGGGAGTTGGCGGGAAAACCGTTGCTGAGAGCGGTGGCAGTTACGTCCCAGCACCGGACAGAGAGGCCCCTCAGGACTGCGCCGTCAGATCCTGGGGCTGTTAGCTGGGGGTGGCAGGGCCGGGACAGGCGCCTGGTGCCCGCGAACCCTTGGCTCAGCTGTCCCGCAGGGCCTTCTGGTCGTGGGACAAGGAGAAGCTCTCTGTGCCCTCCCTGCCGGCTCTCTCCCGGGCCGTCATCAAGCCCACAGGGACCTAAAGCCTGGTTAGAGAAGAGCGTTCCCTGTGGAAGGACTCTGTGCTTTTTGAGCCGCTGCCTCCACTCAAAGCTCCGTGAACGAACTCCCGTTCCCTCGAGAACAGCCGTCTCCCTGGACCTCTGGCCGCTGATGCCAGCGGCCCTTGGGTGCCTGCGTCTGTTCAGGCCGCTGGAACAAAGCGCCACAGGCGGGGTGGCTTATAAACAGCGCACATCTGTTTGTATTCCTCCCAGTCTGGAGCTGACGCTCTGGGATCACGGTGTCCGTGAGGTTAGGGGAGAGCCCTCTTCTAGTTACAGACTTCTCCTCATGGCCTTCCACAGCCGATGGGGCTTGACGGCTCTCTGGGGCCTCCTTTCTAAGGGCGCTAATCCCATTCACGAGGGCTCTGCCTTCATGACCCAATCGCCTCCTAACACCGTCACACTGGGTGTTAGGATTCCAACATGTGAATTTTGGGGGGACACAAACATTCCAACCATCACAAGGGGTGCCACGTTGCAGCCGGAGAGTGGCAAGGGTCTGCCGTGGAGAGGACTGAGTGATGGGGGGCTGCAGGAAAAGATGCTGAGATCAATAGTAGTTGTAGGCAGTGACCGCGGAGGTAATTCCCTTGACCTCCTGTCCTCTTAAAAAATGCCCCTTCTTGGTGGAGTCATGTTGATGTTTGGCAGAAACCAACACAATTCTGTAAAGCAATAATCCTAAATTAAAAAAAAATGTCCCCACTTGGGACTCCCCTGGTGGTCCAGTGGTTAGGAGTCCACGTGCCAATGCAAGGGACACAGGTTCAGCCCCTGGTCCGGGAAGACCCCACATGCCCGCGGAGCAGCTGAGCCCGGCCGCCACAGCTTCTGAGCTTGCGTGGCACAGCTGCTGAAGCCGGTGTGTCCAGAGCTGGTGCTCCACTGCAGGAGAAGGCCCTGCGATGAGCAACCCCAGCACCGCAGCTAGAGAGGAGCCCCACTCGCTGCAACCAGAGCGAGCCCACGCTCAGCGGTGAAGAGTGCTGCAACCGAGACCCAGCGCAGCCGCCAGTCAGTTAGATTTAAGAAGCCCCCCGTAGCCACTGAAGACCTCGCTTTGCACAGATTACGCCTCCTCCTGTGGTCTTCAGGCCTGGCCTGGAGAGCCATGTCTGAGGGGCCCCTGTGTGCTGTCCCCCACAGCTTGTCTACGAGGCACCCGGCTCATTGCTTGGCTGGGAACAGGAGCTCCGCTGACGTCCGTGCTGTTTGCAGCAGGGCCCACAGGCAAGCTTTCCTCTCCATGAAATTTAGAAATTGCTAGTGGACTAACTCCGTGGATGGAGGGTCCATTCCCTTCTTTGACAGAATATTCGGAAAAGCAAGCAGTGCCCCTGGTCTTCTCTAAACGCCACCTCATTGGCACTTGGCTTCTTCTAATATATTTTTAATATACTATATATGCTGTATCGGAGTAAATCAGTAGGTATGTTTTGAAATTAAATATTTGCTAAGGGCTAGGTTCTCCTGATGTTAAATTATTGATAACAAACTTCACAGACGCTGTATGAGACTTGATGATATATGAGTTTTGAGTGACCTGCCATTTATTAGACTTTATCTGCCCATGAAATCCATTTCCAATTCAGACCATATCTACTGCAGGATTGCTTGCCAGAAATCTATTCCCAGGTTTCTCCTTATTTCAGTGAAATATCTCTGGCTCAGCACCTTTCCCAAGGTGGCTGATCTAATCGGGGCCCGATCACTTATCACTTCTCATTTCCTTTGGCAGGTCTGTCCAACTGGGAAGTGCATCTCGGGGACACTTGGGAGCAGTAGTCGACCTCCCCTCCTTTGCCCTTTTCCCCGCAGCTTAGAGGAAGGGAGCTCCCTGAACCGCAGCCCCGCTCTGGGGTCTGTGAGCAGAAAGAGGACCACGTGTGTGGTCAGGAAAACGGGGCTGGCCTCCCCGTCTTCCCTGGTGTCAGGAACTGTCGGGGGCCCCCTGCGCCCACAGTGTTCAGTGACCCCGAGCGATCCGGCCGGCCGCTGGGCCCCCGTCTTTCTGCTCCCTCTCCTCGCTGACTTCTGTGTGGACAGGTGTGCGCTTCTGGCCGCTGTCAGGCCCAGCTGGCAGGAGGACTCCAGTTTGCCATCACAGAAATGAAATTTGTCACCTCCGTGTTCCCCACCTCTGTGCTTTCATGTTTAACCAGCATTCGGAGTCTTTATAAACATGTCAGGGGGTCTGTTTTTCTTTCCTAATTAATTCAGAAAAGGAGCAGAAGACGTTGCTAATGATGGAAAAGAGAAAGGGATGGGTAGGGCTGAGAGTGGCTTTTTTGTTTTTCTGTTAGGAGAGGCAGTTGACTGAATATGGGCTTCTGGTAATTTGAGAAATTACTTGGGGCCTCTCAGTGAGTGCCTTGGTGATTCTTGGGCTGGTCCTGGACTGATCAGAATTTATGAGCAGGTCTAAACTACCCAAATCCGATGGCAGACTTCCCTGCTCATAAACGAATGGGCAGCGGTACTTCATCTTCCCATGCACAGGGGAGAATAAAAATTTACACATATATTAACTTTTTAATTGTTTGAAATGTGTTCTTTTCAGCCGTTTCTGAAATCCCTTTCTCTGAGGACATTGAGCCCAGTTTAACCTTTGTCTTGATGATGTGCAGTCATCTTTCTAAACATCTAGAACTGTGTACTTTAGCGATTCCAGAATCTTAACAACCTCAAGGGTGTAGTGTTTTAATTAAATGAGCATTTCCTCTGTTCATTGTTATCGAAAAGGCTAAAATAATAGACATGGAATAATGGAAAGAGTTCTAAACATAGAATCAAAACACTGGCTCTAATTTAAGTTTAATTGTTAATTAGCTGTTTGACTTTTAGCAAGTCTCTTAACCTCTCTGAGAATTTACCTTTTCATCTGTAAAAATGGGATGTTGGACCGTAATATTCCCAAGGTTGTTTAGATTTCTAAACTTCTGTAATTTTATGATGGAGGACCATGATATTCTGTAATGCCAGTTGTCCTAGAGGGCTATTGAGGTTGGGATTATTTGTTTCTTTAAGATATAGTCCGAGACTGCTAAGATTTTTCTAGCTATTGTGTTGGCTTTAAAAGTTTCTTCTATTCCTTGGTTTGCAAACTGTAGCCTCTGGGCCAAATTTGACCTGCCACCTGTTTCTGTAAATAAAATTTTATTGGAACTCAGCCACGCTCCTTCATTTACACATTGGTCTGTGGCTTATTTTGAGCTGCACAGGTGAAGTTGAGTCGTCACAACAGAGAAAGTATGCTCCATGATGCCTAAAATGTTTACTCTCTGATCCTTATCTTTATAGGAAAAGTTTGCCAACCTCTGCTTGATTCTTTTTTTTTTTCCTACTCTGTCACTTTTCATTGTAATCACTCTCTCTCCTTATAGGAATCCGTTTTAATTTACCATATCTACCTGGCTAGAGGTTAAGAAACCAGACAATACAACTGATTAGAGTTGTGTTCTAAGTAAGAGTTAAGCAGTTCTGGACAGAAGTTCAAGGGGACATCACTGTGCTGAATGCGGTGGGTGCGTGAGCTTGTTAGCCACCCAGAGGCCCTTCTTTCTCACCGAAATGTCTGGGTCATTGTGGAGAGCTGGCGTGCTGCAGTCCACGGGGTCAGGAAGGGCCGACTCAGTTTCTGAGTTGACATGACTTAGCAACTGAACACACTCCACACATTCCAGGTAGCTGAAGTCTTTCCACAATTTGAAATTGCTAGAAACAGTTGCTTTTAGGTTGCTGACCGTGATCACGGACTGGCCATAAAGTTCCTCCGAGTACGTGCCACTTCATATGTGTGACATCTCCTATCATGGTGAGGCTCAGTACTGGAGTCGTGAACTGAGCCTGAGATCAAGTTTAGACCCTCCTCAGCCGTCCCATGACTGTCCGACCTCGGGCCATCAGTCCCTTTAGAAGCCTGTTTGTTCGTCTGTAAAGTGGGAACGACATTCACTACCATACATCGTAGGATGTGCTGCAGGGGCTCTGCGTTCAGCTCCTCCCTCCACTGTGCTTTCCATCGCTTGGGTGGAGCAGGTGTGAAACCTGGACCAAATTGTGAACGTGAAATGGGCCACATCCATGGTGGGCAAGATCACCATGCCTTAGAAATTACCGGGTGACTCCAAGTGTTTCCCCTCATTCTCACACCCCGGTGAGTAATCCTCGCCAGAGTGGTGGGTAGGCTGAGCGCCTGATAAAGTCAAGTTTTGATTCCCTGCTAGGCCCTTATTCCTGTGACTGGTTCAATGGTTGGTGAATGAGTTGGGGTGAGGGGAAGAGGCAGACCTTCCTGGGTCCCTAGTTGTAATAGCATCCACCCCAGTGGTGGGGCTAGTGGTAAAGAACCCACCTGCCAATGCAGGTAGATGTAAAAGACACGGGTTCGATCCCTGGGTCGGGAAGATCCCCTGGAGGAGGGCATGGCGACCCACTCCAGTATCCTTGCCTGGAAAGTGTCATGGACAGAGGAGCATGGAGGGCTGCAGTCTTTACGGGGTCGTAAAGAGTTGGGCATGACTGAGTGACTAACACTTACGAGACAGAAGGCAGGCCAGGCTACAGGTGCAGCAGAGCTGGGCCAGAGCCTTAGCCCGCTGCTCACCCAGCATGACCACGCCTTTCCCTGACTCCGAGGCTCCGCCCACTCCTCATCTCCATCTCTCTTGTCCTTGGGTAATCTGGATCAGACTGTGGGAACTGAAAAGGAAGACTGATCTACAGCTCAGCTTGAAGGTTTCCCTTGAAAGGGCTGAACCATCCATGGTCCAAGATGCGAAAGCTTCCTTTCCTTTGGCTGCTTGGTTCAATATCTTTTTAAAAAGTTAATTAATTTTTATTGATGTATAGTTGCTTTACAATGTTGTGTGAGCTTCGACACGGGTGAGCACTTACATTGATGTATATGGTCCTGGTGGTGGTGGTTTAGTCACTAAATTGTATCCAACTCTTGTGACCTCATGGACGGTAGCCTGCCAGGCTCCTCTCTCCATGGGGTTCTCCAGGCAGGAATACTGGAGTGGGTTACCATTTCCTTCTCCAAGGGATCTTCCGACCCAGGGATCGAACCTGGGTTTCCTGCATCACAGGCAGACTCTTTACCATCTGAGCCACCAGGGAAGCCATTGGTTACTTGTCTCCTGCTGGGAAATGAATAGCAAACGCTTGGATCCTTCATTTAAACAATGTTGAGTCTGACTTGTGCCGGACTTTCTGCTCCTTGTTAGGGTTGTAGCAGTAAAAAGAACCGAGGCGGCCTTTGCTTGCAAGGACTGTGTGTGTGATTAACAAGTGAATAAACAGGAGCGACAACTGCCAGTTGTGGTGAGAAGCAACGGAAGACGTGAACGTTGGGGCCAGCGCCCGGCTCCCTGAGCAGCCATCACGGGGTACTGCTGTCCTGTCTCCTGTGTCATTAAAACTACTTTGTGTGTTTACTTTTGGCTGTGCTGAGTCTTCCCTGCTGCGCTCTCCAGTCGTGCAGAGCGGGGGCTCCTCTCTACTCGCGGCGTGTGGGCTGCTCACGGCGCTGGCTTTTCCTGCCGCAGAGCGAGGGCTCCAGGGTGCAGGCATTTCATCTGCTGCCTTTCTGCGCTTGGGCCCAGACGGCAGGCTCGGTGGTTGTGGCACACAGGCCTAGTTGCTGCAGGCGGGGTCTTCCCAGGCTAGGGATCAACCCATGTGCCCGCACCACAGGCGGGGTCTTCCCAGGCCAGGGATCAAAGCTGTGTGCCCGCACCACAGGTGGGATCTTCTCAGGCCAGAGATCAAACCCGTGTGCCCACACTGCAGGCGGGATCTTCCCAGGCCAGGGATCAAAGCTGTGTGCCCGCACCACAGGTGGGATCTTCCCAGGCCAGAGATCAAACCCGTGTGCCCGCACCGTAGGCGGGGTCTTCCCAGGCCAGAGATCAAACCCGTGTGCCCGCACTGCAGGCGGGGTCTTCCCAGGCCAGAGATCAAACCCGTGTGCCCGCACTGCAGGCGGGATCTTCCCAGGCCAGAGATCAAACCCGTGTGCCCGCACTGCAGGCGGGATCTTCCCAGGCCAGAGATCAAAGCCGTGTGCCCGCACCACAGGTGGGATCTTCCCAGGCCAGAGATCAAACCCGTGTGCCCGCACCGTAGGCGGGGTCTTCCCAGGCCAGAGATCAAACCTGTGTGCCCGCACCGCATGCGGGATCTTCCCAGGCCAGAGATCAAACCCGTGTGCCCGCACCATAGGCGGGGTCTTCCCAGGCCAGAGATCAAACCCATGTGCCCGCACTGCAGGCGGGATCTTCCCAGGCCAGAGATCAAACCTGTGTGCCTGCACTGCAGGCGGGGTCTTCCCAGCCAGGGATCAAAGTTGTGTGCCCGCACCGCAGGCGGGGTCTTAACAGCTGAACCACCACGGGCTTCCCCCTTCCAGAATCTTAAAATCCAGAAAGAAGAGCTTATTACGCCGATGGTGGAAAGAAGAGCGTCTAGGGGGAGGGCGCAGTGTGAGCCAAGACCCTGAGGCCAATGAAGGGGTCCTGGCTCATTTGTGGGATTGTGGCAGCAGGAATGTTTGGGGGAGCAGGGCCCGGTGAAGGCCCCTGGAGCTGATCTGCTAGGGTCGGTGACTGGATTTATTTATGGGAAACCTTGGGCTAGGGTTAGTCCTGGAGGCCATGTGAGTGAAGTCCCTGGGCTAGATGGGATCAAGCGAAGATGAAGATAACGTTCTGGTGCATTGGATGGAAGTGGGAGGGACAAGGAAGTCTTGGGATGCTGACACAATCTCGGAGGAGGAATTTACTAAGATGAGAGATATTTGAGGGAGGAGTGGAAGGAAGGACAGATTTGGGGGAGAGGGCTTAAGTTCTGCTTTGGAGTGAGGTGCCCCAATGGCAGAGGCACCTTTTGGAGCTAACATGAACCGGGGTGACCTTTCTTGTCCCCGCCACTCGGGAATCACACTTAGCACGCTCTGAAAAACGACCAGCCTTCTTACTTACATGGGACTCTTGCCTGGATACCACTTTGTACCTGGATTTATACCATGTCACCCCTTCGGTAAATGCTTACAGTAGGTGCTCGGTAAATATCTGGTGATGGCTTGTCTGCTCCAAGCATCTTCAGCTTGTTCACAGAGCTCGATTCTGAAGCAGGAACTCTGTGGGTAAGGGGAAGAGAGGCAAATGAAGAGGGATTTTCTTTTTTTTTTTGGTGTGTGTGTGTGTGTGTGTGTGTGCTGTTGATGATGAAGTGGCTATTTTTCTAAAAAGAGACTTCAGCTGAGTGGGGAGGATGGGATGAAAGTGAAACTGGCTTGACGGACACATCTAGACATCTGGGTCCTGTCTGCTTGCTCTTGTCCTCCAGACTCAGCGTCTCGGGTCGGCTCGAGTCTCTAGACTCCGAGGCTAGTGGCCAAGAAAAGGGAGTCAGGGTCCCACCTGCACACCCGTCTTCCCTTCCCTTTTCTGTCTTTTTTTCCTCCCTATTCTTTTATTCCCACCTTAGAGAAGAAAAGGCGAAGTTTCCTGGAGGGAAGGGAAGGAGGAGAGTGAAGCTGAGAGCTCCACTCCGAGGTCACGGGCCCGGGACCATGTCACTGCAGTCGCACACGAACCCGAGTGAGTCATGAGTATTTCATGCCCTGAAAACCAGCAGGACTTCCATCATCTTCAGCGCATTGTCTTGGTGTTCCGGAAGACTAAAGCTGGTCATAGCAGTGCCTCTTCTTAACTCAGAAGTGCATTTCCGTGACCTGTCCCGTCTCCCCAGCTGGTGGTTTTTGACAAAGCAAACTAGTGAGGGTGGTGTCTTACGATTTTAAAAGGTAAGTATTTGTTGCATTTTAAAAAATATATAAGTTATTTCTTCCCTGTAGGAAAGTAAAGAAATCTGTGATAAAAATAATAATTAAATGCTGACAGTGCTAAATTTCTACTCAGCGTGAGCTGGCAGCAGCTTCATACCAAAACATTAGGTCATTGGAAGAAAAAAAAAATCTGATTAAATACCTCTGTAGGCTTTCCTGATTAGTGTTCTTAAAACGCGTCCATGACAGTAATGAAAGGGTGTAATTTGACAGCCACAATTTACTCTTGGAAAAAAAAAGGTAAAATGGAATGGTGTGTCTGAGTGAGGGTTTTTCCAGGAATTTCTTGTTGGTCTTTACTAGTGGGGTTTGTTTCATAATCATTAGTTTCTGGCAGTTTCGAAGAGCCCCCCAGCTGAAAAGCTGACTGTGTAACTGGGATGAGGGTTGAGGGACAGTTTCAATGCCAGCCTTCCTTTTTCTTTTTTTGTCTTCTGCAGGCAGCAGGTTTCATATTTCTGGGGTTAAATGACCTTGGCACGAGCAGGTTTGGGCAACGCAGTGTGGGTCGTGGAGATTCTCTTATCCTGTGCGTTAATTTTCTGTGTCTGGCGGCTCGCACTGTCTCTTTGTATTAACTCTCCGTGGCGTGAGGGCTGCAGGCCAGATTTGACGTGAGGATGCAGTGATTATGTGGCATATGGTAAAGGCAGGGACCACTGCTAATCGCTCTTTTCCCTTTCTCCTTGGCTTCTGCTGGTGATGGGAGGGTTCTTGAATCTGCAAGTGTTTTCCTGTTTCAGCCCCATCACGCTCTCCCCATCAGTAGATGTTTGAGCAGATGATTTTCTTGGCTGGGGTGTGATGGAGCATGAGTGTCAAACCTGAAAGAGGACGCGCTGCTCACTTAGGTTAAGATGCTCTGTTTCAGAGACGAGGACGCTGGGTGCGCGGAGGTCCAGCTGAGGAGTGGCCGCAGGATGGAGCCTGGAACTCAGGTCTCCAGCCCCAGGGGTGCTGGTGTTTCTTTTGCTGTCACGTCCCAGAGGCTGTAATGAAGCCAGGGTATTCATGCCGTCGGCCGCTGTAGCAAAACGTACCACAAGTGAGAGTGACAGTGAAGTGACAGTGAAAGTCGCTCGGTTGTGTCTGACTCTTTGCAACCCCGTGAACTATACAACCCATGGAATTCTCCGGTCCAGAACACTGGAGTGGGTAGCCTATCCCTTCTCCAGGGGATCTACCCGACCCAGGGATCGAAGCCCGATCTAAGAGCTGTGATGGCCGGGTGGTTAAGGCGTTGGACTCGAACCCAGGTCTCCTGCCTTGCAAACTGAGTGGCTTTTAAAAAATTCTTTTAAATTGAAAAACATATTTATTTATTTGGCTGTGCCACGTCTTAGTCCTGGCATGCGGGATCTTCGTTTGCAGCACGTGGGATCTAGTTCCCTGATGAGGAATCAAACCTGGGCTGCCTGCCCTGGGAGTGCAGTCTTAGCCACTGGACCACCAGGGGTGACTTTAATCACCAGGGAAGTGGCTTTAATTAAGGCAACAGAAAGTTTTTCTCTCGTATATTCTGGAGGCTGGAAATCCGAGATCGAGGTCCTGGCCGCGCTCCGCAGACTGCAGGCTCTGTGGGACCCTCCCGGGCTGTCTCTAGCTTCTGGAAGCACTGCTGGTCCTCAGCATTCCCGGGCAGCGGAGCTCCAGTCTCTGCCCCCAGCATCGCCTGCCTTTCTGCTCGTGTGCGTCTCTGAGTCTTTTCTCTCCTCGTAAGGGCACCTCTCACGATTCAGGGCCCACCTTACTCCAGCAAAACATCATCTTAACTAATTGCATCCCCAAGTTTCTGAATAAGGTCACGTTCTGAGGTCCCGGGGGTTCGGGCTATCGTGTGGTTTTGGAGGGGACACAGTTCGACACAGAACAGGTGGGCTTGGGTAAGTCTTTCCACGGGAGGGTTTTTGGAGCGGTCGAAGGGCGGTGAGTCACTATCACCTTCAGCTGTACTCTGAGAGCTGGTTCTGTCTTGACGCCTTTCCTGTCAAGCGCAGGAACCTGAGTCTTCTCCGTTTATTATTAATGAGGATGATACGCAGTTTCACTTTTTAGCAGGGAGTGAGAGCGTGTGAGTCAACCCGAGGATTAGCCACAGAAAAAAGATAAAGTTAGAAACAATTCAAAGACAAGATTTGAGCTGCAGACATTATTATGGAGATGCTCTGGGTTCTTTTTCCGTCTCATTAAAGTCCTTCAGTTTGGAGAGTTGGTTCTATTTATTCTTACGCGTGCTCAGTCGCTCAGTCGTATACTAGTTCTATATTTATTTATAATTTAGAATAATTATAATTTAGAATATACAGTAATTTATTCTATATTACTTATTCTGTAATTTATTCAGCAGTCACAATTATCCTACTTGTCTCCTTAAATATTATTTTTTTCACTTTCCCCTCACTCTAAATTTAGGCTTCCATCATAGCTCAATTGGTAAAGAATCCGCCTGCAATGCCCAGAGACTCCGGTTCAATCCCTGGGTTGGGAAGATTCCCCTGGAGAAGGGAGGCTTCCATGGACTGTATAGTCCATGCAGTCGCAAAGAGTTGGATATGACTGAGCAACTTTTACTTTCACTTTTTCACTCTAAATTCACCTTCTGGAAAGCGTGAAATTTGATTTTATTATTTATTCATTTATTTGGCTGAGTTGGGTCTTAGTCTCCACGTGCAGGGTCTTTCATTATAGCAAGCGGGCTTAGTTGTGGCATGTGGAGTCTTATTAATAATCCCCCCACCAGGGACTGAACCTGCTTCCCCTCGTTGGAAGGTGGATGTCTAACCACTGGGCAACCAGGGAAAGCTTAACATTTCCCTTCCTTCCATCCTGTTGCGCTCTAGACGGAGCTCATCACGGCGCCCATTTCCTGCTGTGGCTGTCTCCCAAGCTCGCCCCGCCGAGCGTCTTTCAGACCAAACTGACCCACTGGCTGACCTGCGGACGTCCGTCGGCCCGTCCACCTTCACGCTCCGCTGTGGCTCCTTTGGCCGTGTTCAGCGTCCCCTCTCCTCTCAGTCCTTCGGACACCAGCCGCCCTCGAAGCCCCGATCGCCCCTCGTCCGTGGGCACTGCCCAGACAGGAGGTGATCTCCTGAGCGAACGCCTGTAGGACTCCCTGTCAGGAGCGCACAGGTCGGCCTTTCCTGCTCTCTCTCTGGAGGAGTCGTGAGTGAGCGGCCACGGGCCCCGCCTCCTAGCGTGGATCTGCCATCGCAACTGTGTGTGGCCGTGGGGCATGTCAGGGCCGCCTGTCTCGTCCTGGTTCTGTGAGGGTCCAGTGAGACAGAAGCTTCAGGTTACGTGAAACCTGTCTGTGAGAAGCACTACCGAAATACTCATTTCTTTCTTTCTGGCTGCACTGGGCCCTCACTGCCGTGCCCGGGCTCCTCTCCGGGAGCGGCGCCCCGGCTTTTCACGGTGGGGGCTTCTTTCGTTGTGGAGCACGGATTCTAGAGCACGTGGTGCAGTCGTCAGTGCATGCGAGCCTGGTTGTCCCTTGGCACGTCGCGTCTCCCTGGACCGGAGATTGAACCCGCCTGCCCTGCATTGAAAGGTGGCTTCTTAACCACAGGACCACCAGGGAGATCTCACTATTTAAATAGTGATTACTTAACGCACCTTGATTTACTCACCTGTCAGTCAGTCAGTCCAGTCGCTCAGTCGTGTCCGACTCTTTGTGACCCCATGAACCGCAGTATGCCAGGCCTCCCTGTCCATCACCAACTCCTGGAGCTTGCTCAGACTCATGTCCATCGAGTCAGTGACGCCATCCAACCACCTCATCGTCTGTCGTCCCCTTCCCCGCCCGCCCCCAATCCCTCCCAGCATCAGGGTCTTTTCCAATGAGTTAGTTCTTCACATCAGGTGGCCAAAGTATTGGAGTCAGCTTCAACATCAGTCCTTCCAATGAATATTCAGGACTGATTTCCTTTCGGATGGACTGGTTGGATCTCCTTGCAGTCCAAGGGACTCTCAAGAGTCTTCTCCAACACCACAGTTCAAAAGCATCAATTCTTTGGCGCTCAGCTTTCTTTATAGTCCAACTCTCACATCCATACGTGACTACTGGAAAAACCATAGCCTTGACTAGACGGACCTTTGTTGGCAAAGGAATGTCTCTGCTTTTCAATATGCTGTCTAGGTTGGTCATAACTTTCCTTCCACGGAGTAAGTGTCTTTTAATTTCATGGCTGCAATCACCATCTGCAGTGATTTTGGAGCCCAGAAAAATCAAGTCAGCACCGTTTCCACTGTTTCCCCATCTATTTGCCATGTAGTGATGGGACTGGATGCCATGATCTTAGTTTTCCGAATGTTGAGTTTTAAGCCAAATTTTTCACTCTCCTCTTTCACTTTCATCAAAAGGCTCTTAAATTCTTCTTCTCTTTCTGCCATAAGGGTGGTGTCATCTGCATATCTGAGGTGACTGATATTTCTCCCAGCAATCTTGATTCCAGCTTGTGCTTCCTCAGCCCAGCATTTCTCATGATGTACTCTGCATATAAGTTAAATAAGCAGGGTGACAATATATAGCCTTGATATACTCCTTTCCCAATTTGGAACGAGTCTGTTGTTCCATGTCCAATTCTAACTGTTGCTTCCTGACCTGCATACAGATTTCTCAGGAGGCAGGTAAGGTGGTCTGATATTCCCATCTCTTTAAGAATTTTCCACAGTTTGTTGTGATCCACACAGTCAGAGGCTTTGCATAGTCAATGAAGCAGAAGTAGATGTTTTTCTGGAACTCTTGCTTTATTGATAATCCAACAGATGTTGGCAATTTTATCTCTGGTTCCTAAATCCAGCTTGAACATCTGGAAGTTCATGGTTCACTTACTGTTGAAACCTGGCTTGGAGAATTACTCATCTATAAAATGGAACTGTTAATCAGTAGTACTTGGTGAGTATTAATATGATAAAGCCCACGAAATGGCAGCCCACTCCAGTGTTCTTGCCTGGAGAATTCCATGGACAGAGGAGCCTGGTGGGCTATAGTTAATGGGGTCGCAAAAAGGCAGACACGACTGCGTGACTGATGTCTGGGACAGCACCTGACTCCGGAGGTGGTCACCCTCACCTCCTTGTGGTCGGTGTCTTCAGACGGGACTGTGGCCCCGTTCGGATGTGGGCTGAGCTTTGGCGCCTTTTCCTTGCGTCGGATGGAAGCTTGTCCCAGACGCTCTGTAAACACTTGCTGGCTGAATCGTGAGTTCCAGTGTTCCTGTGTGCAGTGCTCACATTCACTTTTTTCCTCTCTTTTCCCAAGGCATTAAAATTCCCACTGATCACTCTTGGGCCTGGAAGTTTTTAAATGAATAGAAATCAGCTCTCTGACAGCAGTGTTGATTTGGGCTCCAAGCCTAAGTTAGTCTGATAGGTGAATCGCTGGTAATTCAGATGTCATCATTCGAAAGCGGTCCAAATTCATTTTCTTCTGATGCCTTCTCATCAGGATGTAACACGGGCATGTTTTGAAATGGAACATCCTCTATTAGTTTAATTGAGCGCAGTTTTGACAGTGTCAAGGTTTGTGCTGTGTCCTCGTAGTAACCCTTTGAAGGCACTGTTCTGCAGACTGGTGGGACAGGACATTTCTGTCCTGTCTTCCGGTCCCAGGTCTGGTGTAAGGTCATTCCCTGCCATCTCAGTGGAGGCTGTCCCTCCTGTCTCCCTGAGCTCACACTCAGGGTTGGTTTCAGCCAGAAGGCGCCTGGACCCCCATTCCTGCCATTTATTACCAACATCCTTTCCAGTTGGCTAGGTATGTTGTTCAGTCACTAAGTCATGTCTGATTCTTTGCAACCCATGGACTGCAGCATGCCAGGCCTCCCCGTCCTTCACTGTCTCCCTGAGTTTGCCCAAACGCATATCCATTGAGTCGGTGATGCCATCCAACCATCTCATCCTCTGTCACCTGCTTCTCCTCCTGCCCTCAATCTTTCCCAGCGTCTGGGTCTTTTCCAGTGAGTCAGCTCTTGGCACCAGGACGCCGAAGTATTGGAGAAGATTCCAGCCCCACAGTTTGAAAGCATCAGTTCTTCGGTGCTCAGCCATCTCACATCCGTTCACGACCACTGGAAAAACCATAGTTTTGACTAGACGGACCTCTGTAGGCAAAGTGATGTCTTTGCTTTTTAGTATGCTGTCTAGGTTGGTCACAGCTTTTCTTCCAAGGAGCAAGTGTCCTTTCATTTCATGGCTGCAATCTAGGCATGGGCATGGCAGGTGTTGCATGATCTAAATAATCTGGAGCACCTCTGTTGGAAGTTTCTGAGCTGAGACTGTGTCTGAAGGCCACAGAGCAAAGTTAGGGAGAGGAGCCTGGTTTCCCGTGTCGGCTTGTCTAGTGGTCGACTCTGTGGTCCTGAGAAAGTTAGTTATGGCCTCAGGGCCCTGTGTGAGGCACTTATCCCAGTAACTGGCACGCAGGACGCATTCAATAAGTGGTGTAACCAGTTTTCTCTTTCTTCTGAATTTCCTCGGAGATAACAGAACGTAAATCACTTGCAAGCAAGTAATACTTGCTGGGTGGTGCAATTTTGGGTCATAACCATAAGTCATTGTAAAGTAACGAGACTCAGACTTGCAAACCGGCGCTAGAGTCGCTTCTGAAATCAGCGACAAGTTTACCACTGTTCGTAAAGCATAAAGCCCAGGGCTAGAGTTTTGGTGCCCAGAGCCTCTGTATCAGGACGGAGCTGGGTGCGGAACTGAGGGGCAGGGCGTGGTTGCCCCTCGTTGCCTCCAGTCAAGACAGGCGGGCTGAGGGGTGGCCCCAGTTCTTTCTTCTGTGACCCTGGGGAGGCACGTGGCCACATCCTGGTCTTGCTGATGCTCGTGATGGGCTTGTGCCAGGAAGAGTTGCTGGGCAGACCCTCACTGTCTTGGAGAGACCACCTCTCCCCGCAGGTTGTGTTTGAACTAGCATCGTGGCCTCTTTGTCCTCAGAGAGCATCTCTGCTCTTTCCCCACCCCCTCCGTTCAGGGTTGAGGGGAACTTGGCTTCCGGACCCGATTTGTACACAGAAGTCCTGATAGGTCGTGTGGAAAGTGACAGTCCTGGTTTTGTTACTGGTTTTTGTTTTACTTACTCGTTCGTGGCCGCGCCGGGCCTTCGTGGCTGCGTGTAGCCTCTTCTCCAGCTGCAGGAGGCGGCCGCTCCGTCGCGGTGAGCGGGCTCTCCGCAGTGGCTTCTCCTTGCGGTGCGCGGGCTCCCGGGCCCGGACTTGAGTCGCGGTGGTGGGCGGGCTCGGGGCCTGCGGCTCGCGGGTTTAGTCGCTCTGCAGGATGTGGTGTCTCCTGGACCGGGGACTGAACCTGTGGCCTCCGCGATAGCAGGCGGACTCAGCCCCTGGACCAGAAAAGTCCATCCTACGACCTCGTCGTTGCACCTTCTTACCTTTCGGTAGAGCTGTGTCTTCCTCTGGTGCTGAAAAGCCAAGCGGGCGTCTTAAGTGGCGGGTGGAGAGCCGTTTCGAGGTCAGAGCGGCCGAAGCCTGCTCTGAGGCGAACAGGTTGCAGGGATGCAGCGAGCGTCTCGGAGGGCGCGAGCCCTCCGCTGCACCCACCTCGCACCCACTGCGGTCCCCCCTGCCTCCTGGGTGGCTCCGCAGGGCCCGCTCGTGACTGCTTTGTCGGCCCTGTGTCCCTCGCCCCTGCCGTGGCCGGGCGTGCCAGGCCCCCGGGCACTCGCCTCCCCCGAGGACGGGCCTGCCGCAATCCTCGGACGGAATGTCGCCCGGGCAGAGCGTGAGGACGTCCTCGGCAGGAGCCCTGTCGCCTTGACCTTGGTTCTCTTCTGTGCTGTGTCCTCGTGCCGATGCTCAGTCGTGTCCAGCTCTTCGTGACCCCGGTGACTGCAGCCCGCCAGGCTCCGCTGTCCGTGGGGTTCTCCAGGCAAGAATCCTGGAGCGGGGTGCCATGTCCTCCTCCAGGGGGTCTTCCCCACCCAGGGATCGAACCCGCGGCTCTTATGTCTCCTGCATTGCAGGCGGGTTCTTCACCACGAGTGCCTCCTGCGAAGCCCAAGCTGGCTCTCTTTATCGGTTCCCTAAGCTGGTTCCAACCCTGTTTCTGAGCCCGAGCCTCCCGGCTTGCCCGGCCCTGTCCAGACCCTCCCTCTTGGGATCAGCCCAGCAGAGGGACCCTGCTCACCCCCCCCCCCACCCCCGCCCCTCAGCTTCGAGCTCCTGGTTCACTCAGCCTGTTTTCTTTCTTCTCACTGCCTCTTCCCTGCACTCACTCCCTTGTTCTCTGCCCTCTATGCTTTGTACACGTGGAGATAATTCATGTAGGTTTTAGCCGTATGTTCCTGGCCAAGGTAGATAGAGAGAGAGATGTCTTTAGAAGTATGAGCAAGTCCGTCTTTGTTGTCCCATCAATAACGACACATGGTGAATTTTTATATCTTAAACTGCACAACCTGGCCAGAACCCAGACTGAGACTTGAGCCCACTGTCTGTTAATTGAGATCACACACTTGGTTTCAGGACTCAGTGAAGCTCAGGTTCTTAATGTCTTACTGCAGAAAGAATTCAGTGAGAGACAAAGTGTTCTGTAAGAAGTCGATGTATCTAGAGAGGTCCGCCCTCCAGAGACAGATACAGTCGGTCTCGAAAGGCAAGAACGGCTTTGGAAGGAACACATTGAGGTGAACAGAGCGTGGTCTATCTCAGGAGGCGAGAGGCCTTGAAAGATGGTGTGGTTAGTTTTTACGGGCTGGATAATTTCATGGGCTATTGAGTGGGATTATTATTCCAACTTTTAGGGGGAAGGGGCAGAGGTTTCCAGGAAATTGGGCCACCACCTACTTTTTGAGCTTTTGTGGTAGCATCACCCCTGTGATGGTGCTGTGCCATTTAAATGCTAATGTACTAAGTGAGCCTGTCCTGAGACTCAGGGCCCCCTAGAGGTCACACCCCTGCCGTTGTGGACCCAGGAGCTTCTAACCAGTTTCGTCATGTTCTCAGGGGTGTCAAGGCTCCCCTGGTGGCTCAGTCGGTAAAGAATCTGCCTGCAGTGCAGGAGACCCCGGTTCGATCCTTGGATCGGGAAGATCCCCTGGAGGAGGGCATGGCAACCCACTCCAGTCTTCTCTCCTGGAGAATCCCAGGGACAGAGGAGCCTGGCGGGCTACAGTCCACGGGGTCACGAAGAGTCAGACACGGCTGAGGGGATTGAGCACGCATGCAGGAGTGCGTCGTTCTTTTAAAGGCCGTGCCCTGTCCCCTTCCCTCCTGAAAGCGAAGTCGCTCAGTCGTGTCCGACTCTGTGCAGCCCCATGGACTGTAGCCCACCAGGCTCCTCTGTCTATGGAATTTTCTAGGCAAGAAGACTGGAGTGGGTTGCCAATTCCCTTCTCCAGGGGATCTTCCAGACCCAGGGATCGAATCTGGTCTCCTGCTTTGCAGGCAGATTCTTTACTGCCACCAGGGAAGCCCAGTAGGAGGGAAGCCCTTCTCTCCTATTCCACATCTGTAATGTTCCTCTATCTTAATTTTTAAATTTTAAAGTAATTTTGTCTGTTGACTAAAAAGATGCACACCATGACAGTTGCAAGTTAAGCTTTATTGGGGGCAAGATGAGGACTGCAGCCTGGGAGACAGCACCTCAGACAGCTCTGGGAAACTGCTTGACAGAGGCAGTGGGGGAAGGTCATGATATAAGATGTTGGTGAAGGGGCAGTTCAGTGCAATCGAGTACTCATTTTACAAAAGGTTTGCTGCCAGTCACGAGGAGCTGATGTCACCGCGAAGGGATTTAGTGCTTCTTTAGATATGAGGAGGTGCAAGGACTGGGATCATGAAATCAGTTCCTGAAAATACCTTAACTGTGTGAAGACCTACTCCACCAGTTTCCCTGGAGCACAGAGTGCCTGGCTCTCCACTCTGAGTGCCCCTCGGGGCGTTTTGGAGGCCGGCAGCTGCAGCAGCTGAGGGTTCAGTCTCCGGAGACGGATGAAGAATGCCCTTGTTGTTGTTCACGCGGCGGCAGATACTCTTGGCGAGTGCCAGTTTGTAGTTGACATGTCTGTACTTGCTGTTTTTGCCTTACGTTTTGGCTTTAGTACCTAACTTCTGCATAACATGAGCTCACCTTTTGCGTGAGGTTAAGCACCTCCTCCATGCAGTGGAATCTTTGCCTTTGGCATTGGCCCTGCCCCAGTGGGTGGATCTGGTGGGTGGATCTAATGCCGCAGACCTGCTGGGAGGCCTGCTCTAACCGGCCAACCAGGCAGAGCCGGGCTGGAGGGCGGGACACGGGGCGCTCTCAGGCCCGGCTGGCAAAAGCCAGCGGTGGTGCCCCCCAAAGTGGTTTCACTCCTCTGAGCGTGGTCCATCTTTCAGGTGTTGAGCAGAACCACACCTCTCATCCTCCTCACCTGTGGGCCCGGGGCTCCAGCAGGCACCAGGGCATTTCTGCATAATCCGGACATGCTTGGTCTCCCAGCACTTTTCCACAGGGTGGATACTAACCTTTCACTAAGAGTGGAAATTAGGGGGAGAGTTCTGTGGAAAGGGCTGCCTTTGAAGGGAATAGATGATCTGAACTGTTAGCTGTTCCATCGTGTCCGACTCTCTGCGACCCCAGGGACTGTGGCCTGGCTGGGTTCCTCTGTTCCTGGGATTCTCCAGGCCAGAAGACTGGAGTGGGTCGCCGTAACTGAACTAGAGGATGAAATGGACACCTTTCACTAGAGGCATCAGCTCAGATTTGTGAAATACCATTCATCATATGCTCTGGCCACTGGCCTTGAACATGGTCGACACCTTGGGTGACAGTCTCCAGAGTTTCGGATGGAAGTCCTGTGTGGTGCAAGAGTGTCTGCCTGCCACGCTCCCTGCCTGCCCCAGCCCAGCCTGAACCTCCGCGGGATCCACCGAGCCCTTTCCTCCCCAGAGGGGTCCGGTGGCAGCCAACCAGGCCCTCAGAGGCAGCTCCAATTGTATTTTTCCTCTTTCTGCTTTTGTCCCCATCGCTAACAGTTCTGGATTCCCCTGCCTGACTGCCCTCCCCACCCGCCCAAGATGGGGCAGAAGAAGGATTTCCAGCTTTTTTAGGTCCTTCCTGTCTCTTTTCCCAAATTAGCGGGGTATCTTCCACCTCAGAGCCCTTTTCTGGTAGACCAGAGACCAGCTCCCCAGGGAGAGGCTAGAGCATAGTTGGCAGTCAGTATCCCGGGTTGAACCCAGAAGCGTTCCTTGTCAATAGCACCAAATTGACAATAGCCCCTGTGGCTCGTGACCGTCTCCTCCTCCGCCCACCGAGGGCTCCTCCTTCTGCCCCTCACAGGAGCTTGCATCCTGATTCTCCCCCCAGAACATTCAGCATGGAAGGTCCCCTCCGGGTCCCCTCTTCCGGGGAGGGTGCATCAGTCTGTCTCTCCACCTGGCACTCAGCCCTTCCAGGGCTGAAAACAGGCTGACGCGCAAGAGAGTCGGTGCCTGTCTCGGCTTTGGCCTGAACCACAGAATGAGAACAAGTGAAATTTTAGTTTCCCTTCTTGCTGAACACTGGCCAGGTAAATAGAAAATGCAAAGTTATCATTAGAAAAAAAAGAGACTTATTTTCTTTTTTCATCTTTTCTGCAGTCTAAAAGGCATTTTAATGTAGTTAACACCCACGTGAATGCACGCACATATCATTCGACTGAAAGGCAACCTACACGAATTCTAGTCTCGGCTGTAAACTGCTGGTGAGCTCTTTGGTCAGACCTTCAGACAATCAAAATCTTGACTTCCCTGCCTATAAAATGGGAGTAATATTTTTATGCATCCTTACCAGCTTACTGCAATTATTTTTTAGTGTTTTTTTTTTTAAATTTATTGCTGTATAGTTGATTTACGGTGTTGTGTTATTAATAGCTTCAGGTGTGTAGCAAAGTGAATTCGTTGTGCGTATACATACGTCCCCTCTTCTTTCGATTCATTTCCCATGCAGGTCATTACAGGGTGTTGAGTAGAGTTCCCCGTGCTGTGCAGCAGGCTCTCATTAGTTATTTATTTTTCATGTAGCAGTAGCTATACGCCAGTCCCCTCCCCTTTGTCCCCCGACAGCCATGAGTATGTAATCTACATATGTAATTCTTTCTGTTGTGTAGATAGTTCATTTGCACCTGCTTTTTTTTTTATATTCCACATATAAACAATATCATATGACATTTGTCTGTCTCTGTCTGACTGTCTTCACTTAGTATGATAATCTCGGGTCCATCCATGTTGTTGCAAATGGCATTATTTTGTTCTTTTTTATGGCTGAGTAATATTCCATTGCATGTAGGTACTACATCTTCTTTATCCATTCCTCTGTTGATGGGCAGTTATTAAATCAGATAATATATGAATGGGCTTAAAAAACTACAAAGAACTATACAAAAGACCAGTGTGGATATTATCTGCTAGATCCAAAGGCAGCTAGAGGCTGCCTTTGATGAAAAAAAAAAAGCAAGTGACAGAAAGTCACTTAAGATATGAACATGCAGTTGACAGGGAAGAAAATGAATGGGTCTTCAAGATATAAAAAGATCCTTACCCTCCCTGCTGATAAGAGAAATAGAAACTAAAACTTTAGGAGATCATGCTTACTTGTCAGGTTCTCTCTCTCTTAGTCACTAAGTCGTGTCCAACTCTTGGGACCCCATGGACTGTATCCTGCCAGGCTCCTCAGTCCATGGGATTCTCCAGGCAAGAACACTGGAGTGGGTAGCCACTTCCTTCTCCAGGGGATCTTCCCCACCCAGGAATCAAACCGAGCTCTCCTGCACTGCAGGCAGATTCTTTACCAACTGAGCTATGAGGGAAGCCACACTTG